ACAAATGGTCCAATGCTAGATTTCAAAACAATTAAGACCACAAATTTGAATATACAGTATGATCTAAACTATACAAAAAGATCAAGCTAAATTACCTTTATAATTGCTTAAGTTTAAAAAAAAAATCATAACACCAATGTGAGAATTTTTTTAAAAATCAAAAAACCTATTTGACAACCAATTTTCCACAGACAGATATGAAAAGCCAGATATAAATAACAAACCTGTGGGTAGGTATAAATGTTTACACTTGTTTGCCTCCTCCACCTCGCACTGCCACTGGCTGGCTGTTCTGAACAAATGCACCTCCTCCACGAATTGCACTTGGGTGAGTTGGAGAAGCTGCTGGATGTTGCCCGGGACGAATAGGTTTAGCTAATATGAAAAATAAAGACGGACTTTAGAATAAAGCTTAAGATGTGACTGCAATGACTGTTAAGGTTTCTTCTATTCACAACAAATTCCCAAATGTTTTGTTTTTCTTTGCCTTTTTGTTTCTCCATCACATTTTCTTTTCTGTAGCATCCTTTTCTCTAGGATCTATATCATTCTTAGCCTTTAAAAAAAATCTTTCTGGCCAGGCATAATGGCTCATGCCTGCATAATCCCAGCATGTTGAGAGGCTGAGGTGGGTGGATCACTTGGGTCTAGGAGTTGAAGATCAGACTAGGCAATAAGGCAAAATCCTGTCTCTACAGAAAATAAAAAAATTAGCTGGGTGTGGTGGCATGCACCTGTAGTCCCGGCTCCTTGGAAGGCTGAGGTAGGAGGATCGCATGAGCCTGGGAGGTTGGGGCTGCAGTGCACCGTAATTGCACTACTGCAGAACAGCATGGGTGACACGCAAGACCATGTCATTAAAAAAAAAAAAAAAAAAAAAAAGGCTGGGCACAGTGGCTCACGCCTGTAATCCCAACATTCTGGGAGGCCGAGGCAGGTGGATCATGTGAGGTCAGGAGTTCGAGACCAGCCTGACCAACAAGGAAATACCCTGTCTCTACTAAAAATACAAAATTAGCTGGGCATGGTGGCTTGCACCTGCAATTCCAGCTACTAGGGAGGCTGAGGCAGGAGAATCACTGAAACCCGGGAGGCAGAGGTTGCAGTGAGCCAGGATCACGCCATTGCACTCCAGCCTGAGCAACAAGAGTGAAACTCTGTCTCAAAAAACAAACTAAAAATAAAAAACAACAAAAAAACACTTCCTGCACCTTTT